TTTTCTTTCCAAGGTACGCGAGTCTTGGCAATTATGTCGATAGGGATATGACAAGTATACTCCTTTATGACAAAGAAGAGCTGCAACACCAGGGATTATGGACCATCCTTCAAAAAAGAATATATTAACTGATGTAAAAAAGGATAACGCACTTGAAAAGTATGGCGATAAAGTAATTGATATCGTTCGTGTATTGGACAACGAAGATGTGTCGAATTTGTCAACCATAAAGGCAAGTAATAAATGTGATTGGGCAGATTGGATAATTGTTAGAGAAGGAAAAGGATCAAGACAAATAGGCAGTCTAGTGAACGGTGTATATAAAATGGTAAGTAAAGATAAATTTAAATGTTAGCAAATAGGCACTATGCATATAAAAATCATCATAATACTATAATTAATTATAGTTAAAAAATATGGTAACACACTGAGAAAATGGATCCAACTGGTTCATTAATCGATAATTATTCCATTATAGAGGGACGAGATTTCCGAAGATTGGGTGTTGATTGATGCTGGTTCAATAATGGTTCATTTATTCACTGAGGAAGCACATGATCTTTATGATTTAGAGACTTTGGGCAAATATTTCCGAGATAGGAAAACAATCAACCATTAAAGAAATTTTGTGTATGAAAAAAGAATTTGATGATTCGCAAATGAAACCAAAGAAATTACATCTCCACAAATAATGATTTTTTATTGTTAATTATATAAATTTTCTTTCTATTCTTATATTCGATTATTATTATCGAGTGCTATTGTTCATTCAGTATCATAAGAGCTAATAAATTGATAATTTTGTATATTTTAATAACATAATTTTTTAAATAAAATTAACAAAATTAACTTGCTTGCATCATAACTGATAAGCTATCAGAGCTAAATCATCAACAATAGTTTCATGAATTTTTGCGTATTTTATTTTCAATCGGTTTGGTTCTCCCATGCAAAGATCATTATATAAGACTAAAATATAATAACTTGATTAATAATAAAATAATGCTGAATTATCAAAATGAATATATTGCATTTCCTGGTATTCTACCTTTGAATGACCATCTGGAATTGTCAGTTGTGAATTATTCACTAAAACCTGCACTGGTATAATAACAGATTGATTGTCTAGTGCAGAATCTTCACTTATTGTTGGTTTAAAGTTACCCAAAATAAGCTTCTAAAATTACAAGGCCATCTTTTGCTCTCTTTATTTTTATTTTACAAGCAATCGAAGGCATTAATAGTCGAATTGTTTCTCCAGCTTCACTTTGTAAGAGGTAATGAACTCTGCATGCTGTTCACGTAATTTCTAATACAAATTATAATGAATCCATTTTAGTA